GACGGACTACAAAGTGCTACCAGGTGTAACGGGGCACCTTGAAGCTTGTACTGGCGAAAGTACAAGCTACTTATTCTGATGACAGAATAAGGCGGTGCCCCGGAACTTCACGTACACTCGTACGTGCGGAGGAAGACGGTAAGAAGAAGCGAGTACTTGGTTAGAGTAAAAAGTAGAACTGTATTTAGTATAGTTAATGTCTGCAATAAATCACTATTTATCTTCATCTAACTATGTCTAAATACAAATGTGTAAATCAATTATCTGCTCACCACTCATTGCGTGCGTCTGTCATGGCGCATCTTCGTTGGTTAATATCATGGTCTATATCAACCAATTAGGAACTACTCGTAAGTGCTACAGAATATTTGTCCTTATAACAATATTCTGAGAATAAAACTCTTATAGTTATATTCTATTAACAATTTCTTTTAAATTGTTATGTAACGATTCACCCCGTTACAACTTCCTCTGTCGAGGAGTGCTAAGTACATCTGCTACATCATACGTCATCGGGGTCGCTTGTCCGAGTTTTTAATTTACGCTATAAAGCATGCGAGCTGGATGGTGTTTCGTGAACTCCGTTGGTCTCGGAGCCATGTTGGCGCATGGTATTTATTCGTTTTGCATATAGCACGACTGCAGTCGGAATCTGATTGCGACAATGTTGACCATGCGTGAATGTCAGCGCAATAAGGCCGGAAACAAGAGCACACTGCCGACCACCAAGAAGAATGGCGGACATGTGCGCAAGATCTACTCTTGACTCGCTCTTTAAGTACACGAAAGGTGTTCCCACACTGTTCCTGAGTGTGTGTTGCCATCAACTTCAATGTTTACCTTCATGAGGTTCCGCGTCAATGAGAGCATGTTCAGTTCTGGCGTCTCATTTGTAGTGCCGCCAACACGTCGATACCAATGAAACAACAAGAAAGCACGCAGGCACGCGCCAGAGAAAGAGGGGGAGAGATGGCAGAGAGCAACGCAACCGTGATAATTCACAGCTCATCAGTTGCTCCGCGTCTGGCGACGTCGAGACCGGTTGCAGTAGCAATCGTTGTATTCCTGACTGCCACCTACAAGACCGTTTGTCGCCATATGGTGGAATTGATCGTTCGATTCGATTTTTCGTCACGAAACTCGAGTCATTCATTCGTATCCTGAAAGCTGCTGCTGCAACATACTGAAACACTCGTCTCGACTTTCTCACGACAAAATGGTGTTCACGACCACCAAACAATGTTTCACGGCAACTTGGCCAGAACAAAAGAGGCAACTTTGACTCACACGCGTGCGGTAGAACCATCGGGGGCAACACTCGCTGCACTGGTCGGTCTTTGGTCCAGATCCACACCGTTCTCCTTTGTTCTAGAGTTGTCTTCTGCATCTCGACAGCACCACGGACTATCTACGAGGAGAAGAAGAAGAAACAGACGCTCCGTTCATTTCATTCTGCAATTTGCAGCAAAGGCGAGTCACAACCTCAACCTCCACCTGAACCTCCACCTCCACCACTCGACAGCTTGAGTCCTCGCTCAGCAGCATTCAACCGTCCAGCAGCAACCATGAAAGTCTTGGTTTTCTCGATCTTTAGTCTTTCTGCGGCCTTGCCAGCATCAGCTGGTACCCCCAAGTACGACGAGGACCTCGGCTGCTGGCCAATCAGCGTCGAGCGTGACGCCACCTACTGCATCGACGGGCCCGTCTGCAGCGGCGAAGGCTCGTCGCCTGCCGGATCCTCGTGCCCTGTCAAAGGTGATGTGGCGATCGCCGACTGTGACTCGAATGTCACTCGCGACAGTGTCGGCGACTACTGCGAGCTGTCAGTCGACACCGTCTGTGAGGTCATTCACACGGGGGCCTGGGGATGCGTCATCCCAACAAACGACCACGCCGACTCTTCTAAACATAACCGTCCGCACCACCGTAACTCGCGCGACCGTAACTCGCACGACTGTAACTCGCACCACCGTAACTCGCACCGCGGTGCCCATCACCACCGTAACTCCCACGACGGTAACTCCAAAGACCGACACTCCCACCATGGCGATGACTCCCACTACGGTAGTCAGAACCAAGACTCGTCCTACTATAACAGCGACAGTGGCAGAAACAGCGGCAGCTACGAATGTGATGACAACCATAACAACGGCCACCACATGAGCGATCGACAAAACAGCGACAGCTATGGAGAGGGCAAGTACAACAGCGGTAACCACATGAGCAACAACCACAACTACAACAGCAACAACCACAACAGCAACAGCTACGGAGAGAACGAGTCCGCCAATCACGACGGCAAGAACGACAACACCAACGATGACAAGAACAGCAACAACGACAAGAACGACGACGACACCGAGGACAACAACAGATACGAAGGTGGCCACCGCACCAGCGATTACCACAAGAGCGGTGGCTATGGAGAAGGTAGCTACAACGGCGGCCACCACAACAGTGGTAGCTACGAGAAGTGGTAGCTACAACGACGGTACCTTTAACCAAGGCGTAAACGGATACCTTTCCATCAAATTGTCTTCCAACTCCTTTTTTGACAAGCTTCCGAATACGAAACTGTTAAGACGCAGTAGGTTGATGAGGACAGATACATTCGTATAGCTGTTGGTAGAAACAGGGCAAGAGAGCTGTTGTCCCTGCCAGCAGTTGACCGATTACTCGGTGATGGCCGTTTCGACTGATATCGGAAGGAAGTGGCGGACCTTTCTGACCGTCATGCAAACGTGGTAGCAGCCCTAAACGCTATCGTTCGATAACGAGAACTCAAGGGTGGCACGCTTTCTACCATTTAGCAAAACTGGACCAAGTGGTTGGCGTTGTCATTCATTCGTTCTTCACGAGCTCTCGGGTAGCACTCTCCATCAAGATGGACGTTTGTTATCGAACACGTGCTAAGGTCATGCGCACGGTCGATCAAACGAGCGCAGCATAGATTAATGCTTTCTGCTCGGTCAATTGGGATGGACTAACGTCTACTACTATCGCATGACCTGATGGTCGGATGCAACTTACCCAGTCACCCCACTTTGTGATACTAAAAGCACTTGGCACTCTGTGGCTGGTGCAACTCGATGAGCATCTACATTTCTCTGTTTCTGTTCTGAAGTAACTTGAAATTACTCAGATCGCTCATAACCTAACACTTACCAGCGATCGGTAGACGCCCTGTTCGATACCCTACCAGAGGTTAAGACTGAATGGAGGACACCTAACCGGATGTAGAGCTGTGCTTGCAAAACGGTGTCAGCATCGATGCGATTGGTATGACCCTCGACATGCCATGTCATCAGATCGCACATAAGACTACGAGGAACATGACTGGTTGAATGAAATAACCCTCTGCTATGATCTTCTCCGAGTAATCGCAAGAGTTTAAAGAGAGAACAAGCATTTGGCAGCACGCCAGATTGGGTTATCAACGCTGCAATCCGACTGGCTGACGCATCGACAGGAGAAGCAGAAGCAGAAGCAGAAGTACTCCAAGGGAAAACAGCAAAAGTAAATGCACTGGCTTGTTAGGTAGTAGCACGTCGATCTTCGGTTGCCACGTCGTGCGAGCTACCTGATTAGGGAATGACTGATACGAACATTATTGCTGTACGCTGTTTGAACTTTTAGAAGAAACATCCGGGCATCGAAGTCGCTGATCGCTATGAATCTTAGCGACTGGTGCCCGGTAACAAATGCATGCCTTGTATGGATAGCGGTTGTCATGTGCGGGCGACAGAAGGCGTAGATCAGAATTGACTCAGGCTTTTCGGGTGTTGCATATCACATTTCCATCTACTACGATGAATCGTTTGAGCCATTGGAGACTCTACCATCCAAATGGTGGCGTGCCTTGATGAGGTTCTGCGTTAACGTTTGCCTCCATGAGGTTCCGCGTCAATGAGTACATATTCAGTTCTGGCGTCTCATTTGTAGTGCCGCCAACACGTCGATACCAATGAAACAACAAGCAAGCACGAAGGCGCGCGCCAGAGAAAGAGAGAGGGCAGAGAGCAACGAAACTTTGGTGATTCACAGTTTACCAGTTGCTCTGCGTCTGGCGACGTCGAGACCGGTCGCAGTAGCAATCGTTGTATTCCTGACTGCCACCTACAAGACCGTTTGTCGCCATATGGTGGAATTGATCGTTCGATTCGATTTTTCGTCACGAAACCCGAGTCATTCATTCGTATCCTGAAAGCTGCTGCCGCAACATACTGAAACACTCGTCTCGACCTTCTCACGACAGTATGGTGCATCACAACCACCAAACAATGTTTCACGGCAACTTGGCCAGAACAAAAGAGGCAACTTTGACTCACACGCGGGCGGTAGAACCATCGGGGCAACACCTCGCTGCACTGGTCGGTCTTTGGTCCAGATCCGCACCGTTCACCTTCTTTCTAGAATTGTCGCCTGCATCTCGACAGCACCACGGGCTGCTAGTGTTACGGGGCACCCTTAGTTTGGGGTGCCGCGAAACTGCACGTACACTAGTACGTGCAGAGGAAGCTAATCTACTTGAACGACTCGATCAAGTAAGGTAAGAAGAGGACTGTATTTAATGTAGTTAAGCTTTCAGTATTACTTTAGTCTTCATCCAACTATATTAAACTACGCCGTCGTATGACGACAACCTGCTCACCGCTCGATGCGCACGTCTAGCTGTTATTGGTGGCAATCTATGGTTGACATGTCTTATATCAACCAATCTTGGAGCAGCGCATGAATATTATCCAAAAGGGGATAACGTTCCTTCAGAATTATTCATCTCGGATAATATCGATAGAATGTTATCATACCAAACAATATTCCTATTGACACCGTTTAGTGTCAATTTCATGTAGCGGGCTACCCCGTTACATCACCCCCCCTTAACTATCAACCACCCGTTGATTGAATTAGAATTGATTGGGACGGGGTGACAACCGTTGGATCACCCTGGGAAAGGGAGCACTTGATGGTCAACTGTCATTCATTTACCAATCCAACGCATGGTTTCGAAAACCACGCGAGCTGCTACTGCAGCTGCAAGAAAGGCGGCTGCACGCATACGTGCGTCCGCGGAAAGTGCCTTTCACGCCTCAGCAGTAGTTGATTCGTCGCCTGTTGCTGTCAATCGTCCACGTGGTGAGTCACTACGTGCAACAGGTACATCTGTTGCGTCTGCAGCGGGTACCTTGAATCGTAATCAAGACGAGTCTGAGATAGCGCTCATCTATTCCGGCGAGTCGGATGATGCAACCGACTCGAAGGCGACTCCGCACGCCTCGGGATCACCCGGGGTGGACGCTGCAAAAGCCAGGCTGACTTGCTCTGGTCAGCGCGGCAGCATCATGACCGAGATCTTCGGATTAAGCGATTACTCCGATGAGTCTCCACCTTACGCAAGTCCATCCAACGATAGGACGCGTGGAGATGGTGGTAATGCAGCTATGCATCACCACGAGCGAAGGAACTCAAGGGATCGTGGTAACCATGGTGCCAGTGCTCATGCTGACACCAATCAAGAGGCCAGGGACCGGAATGTCCATAGCCACGCTCCCCAAGTGGAGTGTCCATGGATGCCGCCATCCAGAGAGTAGGACGGGTTGGCCGGCACGACTACCGAGAGGGATCGAATCCCGTTGTTCGATTGCAGGAAGATTTGCTTACCTGATTCCAGCACGATGATTATCCGTGCTGAGGAAGACTTCTTCCCCGATGCGTTCTTTAAACATCTGTGGTACAATGGTAGCCGTGTACGAGACGGCAAAGCCTTGGTGCAGGGATGGAATGCCCTCATCCACAACATCGAGTAAATTGGCCGTGAGGCTTGGATCGCCAAATTTGATGCAGCTAGCATCAGGTTTGAGAAACGCAACCCCGTCGGGGCGCAATACAAGTTGCACCGGCTTTCAAGAGAGGTAGGATTGCCCTGTCTCTCGTGGGGTGATTCGTGTCCAGGTTGCCTGGAAAATTCGAATTGTGCCCCTAGGGAGGCCTACCTCCCTAATGATTTCTCCTGGAGGGCGCGCTTCTCTTCCGATGTGGCCGAAGGGATCGACACTTTGCAATTCCTGTACTCGCGTTCGGGGAGGTCGTTTTTCGACAGCCCTTCTTCAAACGCAGCGGGTGGCTCTCGTCGTACTATTCGACGAGACCAAGTAAATCAACAATCAGCTGGGCACGAGGCTCCCAGCTATCCCACTCCGGTAAATAGCCACGCCAGTGGACGAGGTAACTCGTCCGGACGTTATTCACATCGCGGTAATTAAAAATACGCCTTACTAGGAAGCGTTGACCACCGCTTGAGTCCTCCAAAGGATGTAGGTGGAGGTGGGAACACCTGATCCGGCTCGAGGGTCGGATCAAGTTGATGTTCAAGAGCTTAATTGTGTAACGGAAGAGTTGCAAGATGACCTGGCTCATGAACGATCTCGACGTTATGGACTTTAGGATCCTGTAAGGGACAATTACAATTCCCTAAGTCACGATCGTACGGACGATCGTGCCGCTTTTGAGTTCGCGCAACTTGAGAACGAACGTTCGACTCGTTCTATTCGTGATGAGCTGGCTCTAGCTCGTCGAGACATCGCTGAACTGCGTGAACAGGTCTCTCCGCTAGTCGACCAGACTGGCTCGCTGAAACAGACCCACTCGAAGGTGGTCTCGGCTCTCGACCGCGGAAGTGTTCTTCGCATGTCGAAGCGGGCTCGTACTGATAGTACGGGCGAAGACACCGACGTAAAACGTAAAATGCGTACGCATCTTATGGGGCAGTTCAATCGTGTATGCGTTGCCCATTCGGCGCAACACACGAAATGGACCGATGTAACTAGGCAGTAATTTACTGCTGCCCACGTTTGTCACTGCGTGCTACGGTAAGTTTACTGTATACAGTAAAACTAGGTCTCCTTCATCAAATGAAAGACCATTTGCTCTTCCATGTACGCCTGCGTTTCTATTTTGTCTGTCTAATGCATCTGCAATAGAGTCTTGAACGAAGCGGACAACCGCTTTGCAAGTCAGCAGAAATTCCTCTGCTGCATCATCCTTGTCAACAGCATTGCGCTTCGTGTGCACTGCTGAAAGAACGTTGTCTTCACCAGTGAGGGTATCATCGTCCTCACTTTGGCGGTCATTGGCGATGCTGAATATGCCAGCATCGTCATCATCGACATCATAAGCATCGATCCCATCGACATCAGCATCCATCACGTCGACACCGTTGTCGACGGTGATGAGCAAGAACCAGATCGGTTTTTGTTCGAGCGATTCCACCCTCCCTTAAACTAAAGTCACACTCAAAGAAAACGGTTAAACGTGGGTGGCGTAGGCCGTTCACGAAGAACGGTGTATGCGTTGTAGACGCGTGCACCGAGTTGTTGATGGCGAATTCTGCCATCGGCAAGAACTCATTCCAGCTCGTAAACGAGTGGACATACCCTCGAAGTATCTCTTCGAGATCGCGGTTGACGCGTTCCGTTTGACCATCTGTTTCGGGATGGTCAGAAGTTGACATCGTCAAACGTGTTCCAAGTGAACGAAACACGGATTGCCAGAGCTCCGCTGTGAAGCAGGGGTCCCGATCTAACACGAGCTCACGGGGTAACCCGCAAGTCGGAAGATAGTATCGATGAAGAACCGCCCACAGCCCTGGGCTGTGATTGACTCCGGTACAGCAACAAGATGTACCATTTTGCTGAGCCGATCACCAAACACAAGAATACCAGTATTCTTATGAACGTCTTTGGGAAACCCGAAGACGAAGTCCATCGATACGGACTGCTAACAATCTGCCAGAATCGGAAGAGGCTGTAAGGGTGCACGGGATGAAGGACTAGGCTTCATCTGTTGACAAACTTCGCAAGCGCGAATGTATTTGCGCACAAACTCATACTAGCGGGGTCAGTAGTATTCGCGACTCACCCTGAGGTTATTCTTTTCTCTACCGCGATGTCCACTTGTTGGGGCATCGTGACACTCATACATGATGCGCAATCGCAAATCGTTTTGAGCCGGAACGACGACACGAGGTGTGTCGCCGTTGACTGCTGTAGAGTACAGTAGCTCATCACGAACAGAACACCGTTCGGTTGAAGAGCGTTATTGGGACGACAAGCTTATTGGAGCTTGAGTACACGGATTGGCTACATAATCCATCAGTCGCAGAATAGACTCATCTTCTGTGTATGCTTTTCGCACATCATCGAGCAGATTCGACGATGGAACACTCACTGTTAGTGTTGCTACAGTGGGATCACCCGTATTGTTGGGTCGAGCTGACGGCTCGAAATAGGGCCGACGCGAAAGAGCATCAGCGACGACATCAAGTCGTCCTGGTTTATACTCGACGGAGAAGTTATACTTCACGAAGAAAGACAGCCACCTCTCCATTCGTTGCGAGAGGTGTGGACTGTTTACGGCCGTGCGTAACGACGCATGTTCGATATAAACGATGAAGGGCCTATCTCCTAAGAGATAAACCCGAAACTTTGCCAGGGCATATTACATGGCATGGAGTTCCTTGTCATGAACCGGATGATTTCGCTCAGCTGCTTGCAGCTGACGCAATTGATAACAGACGAAGCGCTCAACCCCGTCTGAGTCGTACTGCATTAACGCGCAGCCGATTGCAAAATCGTTGGCGTCACAGACCACATGAAATGGTCTATCCTGATCTGCGATTGCCAACACAGGCGATTGCACCAAGCTTTTCTTGATGCCTTCAAAAGAGTGCTGACACTCAGCGCTCCATAACCATCTCCCGTTTTTCTTTAGTAAACGAGAGAGATGTACAGTCATCTCGGCATAGTTGAGCGAGTATTTGTGCAAATACGCTGTCAAGCCAAGGGACTTTCGAAGTCCGTTGACGTCGACGGGCACAGGCCAGTCGCTAATCGCCTTGATCTTTTCCGGGTCATGGCGCACATCGTTTTTACCCACGATGCAGCCAAGAAGTGGTAATTCGCTCGCCGCGAATTTACACTTCTTGAGGTTCGCGAGCAGCTTATGCTCTCGCATTAGCGTAGGAACCTTCCGGACGCGAATTCTATAAACCTCCACGCCCGTCTATCCGTTCATAGCCCGTCTATGGAAGAAGACATCGTCGAAGTGACTCGGTGCGAAGTCGCGCACAGATCGCAACATATTCGTAACACATTTGTTAAACGTTGCGGGGGCGTTACTTAGCCCCTGTGGCATCACTAGCCACTCCCAGAGAATACCACTGGGGGTGCTCACTGCTGTGTAAGCAGCACAGCAGTAGAGATATCCCGTTCACGCATGAGGATTTGACAGAATCCATCCATCAAATCCATGGATGAAAAGATGGTACTTTTTGCCGTACCATCTATGATGACACCCTTTCTTGGGATCGGCGTTTGACCCGGTACCGTTGCAGCGTTCAGTTTGTGGAACGCGTGCACTGTCCACCACCCTCCTGTGGCCTTTCGTACACAGAACGTCGAAGAGCTGTGTGGGGATGTTGATTCCATCACATGACCAGCCGCTAAACGATCGGCTAAGAAATTGTGGATCGCTGTGACCTGTTCACGAGGCAGTGGCCACTGCTGTATGACACAGTATATCGAACCAGGTTTCAGTTCGATCTCATGCCGAGTGCCCTTGTCCTTGGGCAGCTCGCATGGCACGGATTCCGGGAAAAATCCCTGAATTCCACCAAATCCTTATACAAAGGATTTGACTTTAATGACTGCCAAGATTGAGACGTGTATCGCTCAATCTTAGTATACTCATCGAGGTCACTCTCGTATATAGCTGAACTACTGATAACCCGTTCGTTCTTAGCAAACACTTGTGCCGACCGAATATTGGCGACGTACTCGTCCTCTGTGACGAGTACGCAGATCTGCTTGATCTTGTCACTACGCACATCTCTCAAGTATCTTTTAGATTCTAGTATTGGCAACTTGAATACCTCCGAAGCTAGCTTCGGGGGCGTCACCAGTCAAGTGTATAAGCACCTACACTTGATCCGTCATTCACCAAGACATTCACTGTCTTGGTGCTTTCCTGGGAATACACATCCGCAGGTGGTTGGGGATCCACACCCTCAACATAACTCGCTCGGGAGTTATCACTCTCAGGAACGCTGGAACTTTCTTCATTACGTGTTCTGAATATGGACGCAATACCACAGTCACGATATCTTCGATCGACTCTATGTCAGTCGATCTTGCTGTGAAGTGTTGTTTATCTCGATCAACACTCATCTCTCTTCTCGGATTCACCCTTCCTGGTGTGCATCCTTGTTCCAGTCCACTCGATCTCTTCGAGTGGTGAACCTTCGGCGCAGCCTGTGTCTCTACACAGGTGCCAGAAGCTGGTTCCACAGTGTAGTGGCCTTCTACACTGTGTTTATGTGCAGTCGTACTAACGACCGTACCACAAGTGAGGCCATCGCACTCACTCGTAGTACATCCCCACGCTTGTGGACGCTCCAAGACGTTCATCAGATGGCCATCCGATGAACAAACGGCAGGCATCTTCACGGATCGATGCTGCCAGCTAACCCATGGCCGGTACACTATTAAAGCCATGGCATATTAAGGATGACATCAAATTTGTCATCCAAATCTAATACGATAAAGTCATCATCGTACTGCTTTCCTTCTAGCATGTAGTGGATTCCCACTACACGTTTGTTCACTGTTACGGATGCGCCTGTAGCAAGGCACACCGTCATCCTCGTTGGAGGGAACTCTCGCTCAACATAGTTGCGCCTACTATCACCTAGCGACTGGCGTCGAATAAAACTGTGCGACGCCCCACAGTCAACTAGGGCGAAGTGACATTCCACTTGTCACTTCGATCTTCAAAGTGATGAGAGACTCCTCATCATTAAGGGCAGTAACACACAGAGACTGCGTGTTGGGAGCAATCTTCGTCAAGAGTCCTGCAATTTTTCTTGACGTTGCTAATTGAGCAGGGTGCTCCGCCCCTTCTGACCCTGACCTTTTTTTTTGTACGGTCCGACTTGCTGTCTCGGCTTGGCTACAGGGTTGGACCCACGCCTTGGACCTTCCTTGGTCAACGGTGGTCATCACGTCCTGTCTTTGGACGTGTTGCAGTGCTCAGGACACTACACTCATGAGTGTAGTGTCCAATCTTCTGACAGCGATGGCATCTTGCCGTTCGCTTGTGACTCAGAGAGCGAGAGTTCTCGATCTCGATGTAAGAGATGTCCATTGGTTCGGAACCTCCTGTTTCCTGTCACCTCGTCGGACCATAGTTGGACGAGCTAGCCTGAGACTGTATCAGGCTGAAGTCTTCTTGTTCCGCATAAGCTATCGCCCTTTCCAGCGTATGTAAGTCCTCTTGGAACATGTAGGTCTTCACCGGCCCATCCACAAGGCCGTAGATGAGCACGTTGATGAGCTTATGCTCACCAACAGGGTTCTCCGTAACGCTACTTGCAAGGTAGCGCAGGTGCTGTGCGTAAGTGTGCACTTCCCGCTTACCTTGCTTTAGCCTCAAGAGTGCAGAGCTTGCTCTGAACTCGGCTCTCGGCGGCTCAAACGTCTCTTTAAGCCGAGACTTCAATATCTCCAACGACTCCAACACGTTGGGGTCGTGAAGCTTGAGCCCTAAGGCTTAAGTCTTTACTCGTCCCGTCAAATTTAACAGGGCGAAGGTGACTTGCATCTCGTCACCCTCGATGTGACGGGCCCTGATGGCATCGTCTAACTCGACGAACCATCTCAAAAGGGAATCTTTATCGGTTCCCTTGTACCTTGAGATATCAATCTTCAAGTTTTCGGGTCGACGCATGTGCGTCGGCCACCCATTGACTGATGAGAGCCTTGCAGCCGTAGCAAGGCTATCTTCTGTCGTTCGACGGCAAGTTCCCCTTGTAGGAACTTGTTGATAGCTGCATGTTGCTGGTCTCTGCGTAGAGACTCCAACATACCACTGATGGCGGGCTCGCCCTTGAGCACACTCATGCGGCCGACTACCTCCCATTCTGAGTCACTCAGATGGGAGTAGCCTTCACGTGTGGCGGAAAGCTGTCGTCTTCTACGTCCAACATGTTCGTGTTGGACGAACACTAGTAGTCGTTGGACGGACTACAAAGTGCTTCCAAGTGTAACGGGGCACCCTTTGTTTGGGGTGCCGCGAAACTTCACGTACACTAGTACGTGCAGAGGAAGCTAATCTACTTGAACGACTCGATCAAGTAAGGTAAGAAGAGGACTGTATCTGATTTAGTTAAGATATCAATATACCTTTAATCGTTATCTAACTTTATTAAACTACGCCGTCGTATGACGACAACCTGCTCACCACTCATTGCGCACGTCTAGCTGTTATTGGTGGCAATCTATGGTTGAAATGTCTTATATCAACCAATCTTGGAGCAGTGCATGAATATTATCCAAAAGGGGATAAAATCCCTTCAATTTTATCCATCCCGAATTATGTCTGTAGATTATTGTCATACTAGACAATGTTCCAATTGACACCGTTTAGTGTAAATTTCATGTAACGGTCTACCCCGTTAACATGTGAGACCAGGGATGACATACGATGATAGGCACGCTGTACGTATGAAAGATGCAACTTGACCAGGTCATGTTGCAGTGGTCGTCATTAAGTACATGTGGTTTTGTAAACGAAGGATAGTTAACACTCAATCTATTTTACTTTTACTTCCTACTCCAAACGTACAAGTGCATCCTCAATCAACAACGCTATCATACGATACCGAGAACTCAAGGGTGGCACGCTTTCTACCGTTAGCAAAACTGGACCAAGTGTTTGGCGCTGTCATTCATTCGTTCTTCACGAGCTCTCGGGCAACACTCTCCATCAAGATGGACGTTTGTTATCGAACACGTGCTAAGGTCATGCGCACGGTCGATCAAACGAGCGCAGCATAGATTAATGCTTTCTGCTCGGTCAATTGGGATGGACTAACGTTTGCTACTATCGCATGACCTGATGGTCGGATGCAACTTACCCAGTCACCCCACTTTGTGATACTAAAAGCACTTGGCACTCTGTGGCTGGTGCAACTCGATGAGCATCTACATTTCTCTGTTTCTGTTCTGAAGTAACTTGAAATTACTCAGATCGCTCATAACCTAACACTTACCAGCGATCGGTAGACGCCCTGTTCGATACCCTACCAGAGGTGAAGACTGAAATGGAGGACACCTAATCAGATCTAGAGCTGTGCTTGCAAAATGGTGTTAGCGTCGACGCGATTTGTAGAACCACCCACATGCTATGCCATCGGATCGCACTAAAGACTACGATGAACATGACCCGCGACTGATGCCGGGTAACAAATGCATGCCTTGTATGGAAAGCGGTTGTCATATGCGGGCGACAGAAGGCGTAGATGAGAGTTGACTCAGGCTTTTTGGGTGATGTATATCACTTTTCCATCTACTACGATGAATCGCTTGAGCCATTGGAGGCTCTACCATATAAATGGCGGCGCGTAGTCTGGGTACGACGAACCGTTGCTTTTGTTTGAATCAGGCATGACAATCTTAGCGACCAAATCTTATCAACCCTTACCGTTGTTCGGATCAGGCTTGACTATCTTATCAACCTACCAACGTCGAATCGCTATGTCATACGTCACTGGGGTCGCTTGTCCGAGTTTTCGAAGCTACACTGCAAATCAAAAGCGAGCTGGATGGTCTTTCGTGAAACATCGCTTAATTTCGGAACCACGTTTTTAAAGAGATGCAGACGTGTCTATTTAACAATTAATGGATGCAGGATGTCTGATATATCTTGAGCCTGGTTAGCAACGCCGGTTTCTTCGACGAGCCCGGTGGTTGTACGGGGCTAGTCGCCCTAGGAGACTGCTATCTTGGTTGTCTGTCTAAATGTTGTTGACATTCTAACAAACGCGCTCCTTAAATTTTTGGTCGGCCCTCCGATACTCCCGCTTTGATAATGCCCGGAGCTGCCGCATACCTGTTAGCCAAAATTCCTCGACGCAAGCATGCAGTGTAACTTCCGCCTGATGTCAAATCACCCGATTG